TGTGGAGAGAAACGCAGCTGCAATTAAGCTGTCCTTGCCTGCCTGGCCCGCCAGTGCTGCTCCCAGAGACCGTCCATAACGCCCCAGCTCCAAGCAGCTCTGCTCTCCCTACGCACATAGAATTGTGATTTGGTCGTAGTTGTCAGCAAGAACTCCAGATTTGCAAGCAGCTTGGCACTTGCAAGGAAATTTTCCACATGTTTGGTAGGCGGCTGGGGCCGGTGCCCAGGCAGTGCTGGTGGAGAGCACTGGCGAGTCTGAAGCTCTGGTCTGTGCTGCCTGGGATCAGTGCTCTGGCCAGTGCCGTCGTGCTGTTGCCTGCTCCAGGAGAGTCCCTGGGGAACCCCAGTGCTGCAGGAAAGACCCCAGCTGCTGCAGAGCAGACCTGCGCCCATGGAGGAGCAGCCATTTGCTCCCCGCAGACCTTCAGGTCTGTATCTTTGCTGAGACAGCGGGAAACGCCGCTGCGAGGCTGCAGTCCAGCGCCGGCAGCGCGACACGGTGCTGCACCCACAAACCTTCCATCCCCAGCACCCTGCCCAAAGGGACCAGCATCACCGTGGGTGCCCTGCACAGGGAACCACCTGCGTGTGTCGACACCGTAACTCAGAGCCAGAAAGACGAGGCTGATCGCTGGGGAGACCCTGGTGCTTTTGGTTACCTCGGCACACGCTTTCCTCCTGCTCTCCCACCCGCTGCCTGATGCGTCGCTCCTAAGGTAGATGCATAAAAGTCAGGCAGTTTGAATTACTTTCCGCTGCCCTTGTACCTGCTTTGCATTCTCCCGTAATCTCCCGGGCTGTCAATCTCGTACCGTCGCGGGCTCTCAATTCCCAGGGAAGCTAAACACATATATATTGCACAAAGAGATCCGTGGGCTGGCGCTAAAAATGGAATACACCTCACTCAGAGTGCTGCAGACGGCCTAGCAATATACTGGGTGTGAATTATGATACTGTAATTCAAGCTTTGTCAAACAGTGGGGCTTAATTAGAATATATATATAATTGTAAAAACTAAAAAGCTGACGAGTACAATTGCGCGTTTGAGCTGCCTGCTACAGAAAATAATGAGGAGAGAATACATTAAGGCACAAAACCCTTCTACCTTCAAAGAGCAGCTAGTTCTGATTAAAAATACCCCTGGCAAGGTAAGGGGACTTGGTGAGAGGCGGGGGAGCCTGCAGTGCTGGCTCGGCCATAACTCTCACTTTTGTTTTACAGCCTCCACCCAGCACAGCTGCAGCTTTGGGGTCCCCCCACCTCCCTGGTCTGGTGTTAAGGGATTCGTATTAGGTACCATGAGATGTCCTGGCTCGGTTTCTTTTGACTGTCATATTAAAGAAAAATATGGGAAATGTGTCTCGTTCTCCCACCTTCCCCCCCGCCACAGCCCTGCAACCCTGCAGATGCTCTGGTGTCCTTGGCCAGCCGGCACGCAGGGCTTGAATCGCCTCCCAGCTGCCCCTGGGGATGTGCATTTGCTCCCAGCAGAGGCAAAAAAAAAAAAACCAACCTAGCCTAGTCATCAAACCTGGTGAAGATCCTGTACTACTCCCCAACACTGAGCAACCAGCAGAGGATGATTTTGCATATCAGCGGTTTTATAGTCCTGTAACAGGTTGCCAGCATCATGGGTATATCCTACAAGGGAGGTAAAATGTCAGGGCATGCGTGACCCTGACTGCTGAGCACGTATGACAGCCAAACACCTCTGCAACTTAGCAGCGGGCTGCTTGTGAGCTCTAGTATGTAGGAACATGCCCCAGCTTCTGGAGAACATAAGCCCCTAATAGAAAGATATTCTGTGCTGTGCGTGGGTTCTCATCAGAGTGGGACACCCACTCCCCCAGTGTCACTGAGCAGGACTGGAGCCCCAGGAGCAAAGGGATTTGCATGAGGCAGCAGAGGGGAAGCAGTGCTGTCTCCTGAAAAGCTGCGTTTGCAAGGTAAACAAGCGTACCGAGTGCTGGTTGGGTTTTAAGCATCTGGCTGTGAAGTGCTGGGTTTGTTACCACTTAATAACTGAATAAAAGAATAAGGAGAGCGTTCAGCTCTTCTCTGTTGGAGCGAGCAGGCAAGTTTGTGTGCCTTTGACGGCAGCACTTGGTTATTGATCCATAAAAGGTGTAATACGTCTCTATAACACCCTTTGCATGAAATAAAGATGTTGTCAGCTTCAATTAACTGGCAATCTATTATTAATCCTTGACAACGCCTAGGGAATTCCTGGGTTTAAATTGCCCTGGAAAAGGATCTCAGTTTGCCAGGGGCAGCCGTGGGAAAGCCCTGGGAAACGGGCTGTGCCAAGCGCTGCACCTCCTAGGGAAGGTTTTGCTGGGTGGTTCAGTGTGTCAACAGTTTTCCTAACCTTCAGGCAGGCTGCCTGCACCCCTCACCCCAGCCACGGGGATTCCCCTGGGATGCAGCTGCAGCCCAGGACATGTTAGCGATGGCTGTTTTACATCAGCCCCGTGAGGATGGAGGGCCCTGAGCACCTTTCATCTCCCTGGACCCACTCGTGCGCCAGCTGGCTCTCTGGAGAGTGATTTGGGGAGTGGCACTCTCCTCCTGTCCTGTGGGGAGATGCCAAGAGGAGAGGTCACCAAACCCAGGGAGCTGTAAGTGCTGCTCAGCTAGCAGGTCTGGTGAGCCCCTCCGAAGCCAGGCAGGGGGGAGCCCATTTTTGGGGGCACTTGCATTCCCTGCAGGGCCCATGGCCCCACTGGGGGGGCATCTCCATGCAGCCCCACGACCCCCATAGCCCTTCAGCAGAACAGGCAAGCTGCATGTGCCCCCATGGCTGTCCACTCCCCCTCACTTTGTGTTTGGGGTCCTACATCAAAGGTGAAGCACAGGGAGGAGGTGCTAATAGCAGGGCTCAGTGTGCAGCAAATCAGCACCTTTAACATTTACTTAATTACGGAGAAAGGGGGAGCAGGGCGAGAGGGAAGGGACGGCTCCTAGCATATCAGTGCAAGTCTTGGTGCCACCACCATATCCCTCCTGCCAGCTTGCCCTGCCCACTGCAGAGGCAGGGGGAACTGAAATGAAATGCTGCGACGACGCGTTTCCCCCAGTCAGGTTTGTAGCGCTTATCATCCCGCCAGGGATATGCCATGCTTTTCCCCTTCCACCTTTTTTTAAACACAGTTTAAAATAGAAAGACAAGAATGACAGAGCCCCATCAGTTTCTGAAAAGCCAGTCAAGGCTGCGGAAAAAACCATGCTGAGAAAGGGAGCCTACCTGAAATTGCTGGAGTAGCAAGCTTGGGACAGTTGGCCACAGCAGTAATGAGCTTGTGGGATCTCAGCAGGGACACACTGGTGGTTCAGCAGCACTCCGTGCAAGCGCTAGACGTGGGCAGGTATTTTTTTGGCGCCATGGATGGTATGGTCTTGCATGGTCCTTACTTTGCTCCTTTGCACAGACAGAGCACTTCATAACCCTGGGGCTTCATCCGGGCTGTCGGAGCAGGAAAGCATCGGTTATCACACAGTGCCAATATTTCACCAGTAATAAGGCCCAAGGGACAAATATTTTGGCAAGGGAGCAGAGGGGTGTATGGGGAGGCTGAAGGTGCCAAGCACAGCCCTGCCCTGCTGCTGTGCTGAGCAAGGGGCTTGTCTGCATGCCTTGCTCCGCGGATTTCACACGGTGGTAACTGGGCTCCACCTGCAACAGGGAATCTCCCGCTGCTGGCCATTCCTCGGGGCTCAGAGGGGAAGCTTTGGCATCCTTCATCTCAATGAGAAACAGCCGTGAGCCGGGATGTACATTACTTACACACACACCACCAGCAGTAGCTTAACGCCAAGCGCTTTGCCAGGGCAGGGAAGCTCATAGCAACTTTTCAGCCATAGACCCTGCATTTAAATCACCCTCAGGTTTGCTGAGTGTACATTTAAATAGATGGCAAATGAAACGAGATGTGATGTGTGAGTAAGTGAAACCGGAGCTGAAGGTGTTGCAGTACTTAGTGACTACCCTCAGTAGAAGTTTTTCACCGAAATGCTGATACCTGCTTTCTGATGGACTGGTGCCTTCCCGTTGTTATTGTCCTTGTCAGTAAAGCTTTAAATTTATTCATGAAGCATGCTGGAGCTCAGGTGGCAATAGCTAAATCCATTTAGCAGTAGGAATAAGAGGAAAGCCATTTTAATGTTCTCTTGCAGTGCTGCAGTACTTAGCAAACCCAAAGGATATTAATTACTCAGCATGCTCTGAGATGTAAAAGCATGAATTTATCAAGACAAATACATTCAGAACTAGGGTAAGTCAACAGTAATTAATGCGATGCAAAAAAAAGACAGAGAAAGGAAGGATTAGCTGGCCCTATCGCAGGAGAACACAGTGTAGCGCTGAGTTATCCCCGGGATATTATAAAGTGACTGGAGTTGTGGTGAGACATCTCTAACAAAAAAATCTGCCTGTGCCTGTCAGGTGTATCCGTGGGATGGGGGTTTGGTCCTGGTTCGCATTACCGAGGCAGAATGATGCAGGCAGTCTCTGAAATGCTAAGTTGTGCTTGGCAGCCAGCAGCAGCATTTTCATACAGAGCCTTTGATGTTGGAAGCCACTTGCAAAGAAGAGGTGCATAGGGCTTTTTTGTTTTCACCGAATTTGTCTGTGCTGTCCCAATGTTTTCATGGTGTTTAGCAAACGTATAATCGTGAGCACAGCCACAGATGAGTGGCAGCTTGAGAGATGAATTGGTAGGCTCTCCTTGACAAATTTAAGCATAGCATGTGTTTTTATACCACATCCATTAGGGCAGACAAATGGAAAATCCAGAGATGACTGCTCTGCAATTTAACAGTCACAGCATTCAGAGAAGGCTGATGTCTTCCTCATCACTGATGATGGGTCAGGCTTGGAAAAAAACAGAAAGCCCTCTAAAAACTAAAGCAATTTGAGCAAATGAGTCTAGCCACACCATATTTAAAGGCGATTTACTTTGTGTGGAGCAAGTACAACCAGTGCTGATTCTTTGTCTCTAGGTCATGGGGACGACCCAGGTGACATCAGCCTAGAAGATGCCCTGTATGACCTCAGCACCAAGAGACGTAAGTCACATTTATTAATTCTTTTAAAGAGGAGAAAACAAATAAGTCATGAATAGATTAAATTTGTTCTTTGGGATCTAATGCTGGTGCGAGGGTGGTGGGGGGTATGGGCTACCTCATCATCTCTGCCTGGGGAGACGCAGTGTCTGGGCTTGCCAACTGGTGGGACTGGGGATAGTCCTGCAGAAGCTGGTTGCTGACCACGTGCCCTCCGCTGCCTGATTCCCGTGAAACCCCAGAAGCACAGCAGTGCTTGGCGTAGCAACGGCACTGAACATGTCTTTTTGGCTTCCTTGCATCCATTAGTAACACCTACCGTCAAACATGACCCTGTTTGCCTGGAGGCTAATGTGTTAACCACTCTCCTTCTCGAGTCGATGCTCAGGGCAACCCACTGAGCCCGGCCGGGCAAGGGCAGCGCTGGGCCCTTCCCTGCAACACAGCACCCGGGGAAAGCAAACGGCGCATTAAGTCGCTGCTTTGCTTCACTTAATTTCAAGCGTAACCCGTCAGTCAAAGGAAACTCATTTCTGAAGGGGGTGCCTTGCTGCCGGCATGCTGATACTTAATATTTGGCTCTGAAATTTTAAGTTGGGGCTGGGCTGTGTTGCTGAGGGGACAGCAGTGCCTGGCAGAGCTCAGCCTCAGGCCTGGCAGAAACAGCAGCGAGGTCAGGGGGGGCTGGCAGGGAACTGGCACCGCCCCAGGGGGAGGAAATTCAGCAGAGCGGCTCTCATTTTACACCCGAAAGAGAAAACCTAAGTGCCAGTGCAGCAGCTGATGGGAGGAGGCTGGTCACACGCCTCCCCCCAGCACCGAGGGCTGAGCCCAAGTGTGACCTGCACCCAGACACACTGCCTCGCCAGCTCCCCTTTGCTGCCCAGCCACGAGATGCCGTGGCAAATTCGGGAACACCAGTGCCCAGGACCCCTCACTGCCCATCCCTCCCCATGCAGTTCATGGTGACTGTCCCCAGACCCAGCGCCCCGCTGGGTGGTAGCGGGGAGTGCTCTGCAAGCGATGCCAGCCTCTGTGATCTCACAAAATACACCTACAAGTATTTGAGTGAAAGCTATAACAGGGTTTGAAACCTCGTACTTTATAGTCTAACAACACACAGACACTTGTGCTGTGTTACGTTGGAGTTTACATGGAATAAAGAGTCAGAATGCTCCATGCACCTCTCCTGCAGCATGCCAGGCTCAGCAGGATAGACTATGGGGTCACAGGTCTGAGAGATCTCACTGAGGATTTATCAAGCCCTTTAGTAGAGTATGTGGGGAGACCTGGTTAAAAACACCTAATGGCCACCTCATGCAGAGGGAAAGCAGCATTTCCCCAGGGTGGAGACCCAGCCATGAGCCAGAAGAGGCAGTGCTGTCTGCCCAGCCCCTCCAGCTGCTGCATCCCACTCTGGACTTCATTGCTTCAGCCCCAGAATAAAAGCAAACGAGAGGTCTCGAGTTGGGTCACATCAAACCGTACTGGCACGCTGGAAATGAAGCCCAGCAAAAGCACTCCAGTATTAAGAGGCACAGATGAAAATTAATGGGAATAGAGCAGCCACAACTCTTGTTCATAATTTATTCATATACCTCGTAATGCTAGCCACTATTAATAGATAGTGGTTTACGGGGGGTGAAAAAAATAAATAATCAACCCCCTTGAAGGCTGACAGGAGCTTGTTTTAGCCCAGGAGTGGCCAGGGGAGCTGGTATTTAAGCATCAAGGTATCACCAAAATTCCTCCAGCTGACAGGGAACCTCCCATACATAATGCAGCACTGGAAATCATCTGTCATTTAACTGACTGACTGGGCAGGGGACAACAAAACATTGGCAGCTTACTCTTGTTTTCCACGCTGTTCTGTACAGTATGTGTCCTTGCTCTGTTTGCTGCTGTCTCCAGGAGTCTTAATTCAGAGCAGTTTATTACAGCGCTCTGCTTTCCGCTTGGCGGGATGCTGCCCTGCACACAGGCAGTGTCCCGGGCGCAGCTGAGCCCTGCGGAGCTCTGGGCCCAATCCTGCACGGGGGCTGCAGCCACTCGCCCTCGCGCGCAGGCGGTCACACGCCCTGTGCCCACGTGCCGTCTGCGGGGGGGGATTCGTGGCTCTGGGCTCCCAGTTCACAAACGCAAACCAGCGATGATCAGCTGGAAAGCTCATGGTGAAATCTTTGCCATTTATTCTCAAACCAGAAGTGATACTTTTTCAGTGATGTCCGCGACTAACGTCTTCCTCCCTGTCTGTTTTGTCACAGCCACTCCCAAGGGCCCCAGAAAACCAGCAAGTGGGACAGGTGAGACCTTCTTGCATGCTTACCATTTAAGCACAGTGCAGGGTTTGCTTCCCATGGGGGCTTGAGAGGTGCGAGCCCCCCCGTGGGCTGCACGTGAGCAGCTGCGTGCTGCTGCCTTACCAGACTCTTCGGGACACCTTCGCTTGCCTGTAAGAAAGCTGGTGCCAGCGTGCATACGTGCACTCCTCCCATACGGCCCAAGTAAATGCAATATTGATATTTCTGTCCATATTGAAGGCAAGTGGCAGTGGAGCATTTACGGCCAAGGCTGAATTTTGCACACATTGCAGTATCCTAATGGAAAAGACACAAATCACTGCTCAGCTATACAAGGGCTTTTGTTTCTGGCTGTGTGACACCTGCTAGCTTTCCTTCCAGGAGGGAGCCTGGAGGATGTTTTCTTTCCTTTTTTTACTCCAAGATATCCCTGAGCTCCATGGAAAGGCCCAACCTGATGACATTTCCCCATCCAGGGAAAAATATCTCTCCAACTGTGCCTGTCAGATGTGCTGGCTGGCTGGCTCCACAGCATCTGCCCTGGTTGAGGAAGCTCCCTTAAATTCACCCAAGTTTCATTGCTGGCAGTTCCTCTAGCTCAGTTCTGGCCAAACATACCTACTTAAATATAGCACGGTCACAAGAGCCGAGCATTGCTCAACCCCGCCAGAGGAGCCTGAAATAAGCTGCAGTGGGGGAGCACTCAGAAGTGCATCTGCTCGCCCCTGCATAAAGATCTTGGCACAAATTTAAGCAAATCTGACTGTCCAGTTCCTTGGCCACTGTGGTCTTGCTAGGGGTAAGAAAAGCCAAGTGCCAGAAGCATGTGCAGGGCTTCAGTGTTCAGGCTGCAGCTTGAATGAGAGGCTGTTTGATCCAATAAACTGTCCCTGGGAAATGGATGCATGCTGAAGCTGAGGTTTCATCACAGCGCATTTCTTCTCCGGGGAGTGCTTTTCGGATGAGTGATGGCACCGAGGGGCTCCTGCAGCAGGTTCCTGCGCCCTGCCCCCCCTCCCGTGCGTGCTCTGCTCAGCCCGGTGTCACTTGTGGGTTGCCGTGCAGGGAACAGAGCGGCTCCATCTCCATAGCACCTCATCTGCATCATCGCTTGGGAGATGCTGCAGGACACTGTCGGGTGTCTCCCCAGAACACATTATTTTGGGGCTGCTTGGGCTGGGAGAGGGAAGCAGCCACGGCTTGGATGAGAAGAGTTAAGCAATGGCCAGTCTGATCTGAAGGCTCTGCAATACGGTTGTGATGGAGCAGCCGGATGCCCTTTTCAGCTCCACGCTGACATGGGCGCTGGTGGCCTCCAGCAATGGTGCAGTGCTGCTTGCACAGCACCTGCAGAGCTGCTTCAGGGGGGACATGTGCCGAAAGCCTCACACCACCCCCACAAAAGATGAAAGTTTTAATAATCCCTTCTTTCCTGCAACAGGCTTTGATTTGTCTGATTACTTTGACACCCCTCTGGAGACTACCACCAAACCAGCCAAGCCAACTCCGAAGCCCTTCCCCAGGCCAGGGAAGCCAGGTACTGCAGAGCTCCTTGTGCCCCGGGAGGGTGCATGCATGCTTGCTTTCAGGGCTCCAGATGGGAGAAAACACTCCCTGAGGTAACTGGGAACCATCCCGGTAGCCGGGAGGCTGGGATCAGGCACTGACAGATGAGCTCTGCCAAGTTTTGGTGACCGCCAAGAGGTGATGTTAAGAGGGGACCACCTCCTCCTGCTCCGCTGTCATTAGTGGACCCCAGCAGAGGAGATGCACCAGGCTCTCACTGATATGCCAGGAGGGTTGACACCAGCATTTCACCATCCTCTCTCCCTTGCTGCCCACACACCCCTGCCCAACCTGTACTGGGGGCTTCGCTGAGCAGCATTTGTAATATTTTTTAACCAGGACGGAGCTGTTAGCTGCTGTTAGATGGGAGATTTCATTGACGAAGTAGCACATCCTTAAATATCTTTTTGGTAGTGCCTGATCCTGCTCCTGTGTGCCATAGACAGCCGGCGGGGCTGGCACGGGGCTGCGCTCATGGTGGCAGAGCTCTCATGAGCAGGTGTCCTGCTGGCAGCGTGTTTCGGGGGATTTTCGTGGCAGCCCTGCTTGTCACCCTCTCAATTTCAAGCCTCGCCGACATGTACCCTGGCGCAGGGGATCCCCACGAAGGCTCCCACCACCCACACCAAGGGCTGGAGCATCCCTAGGGCACCAACCGGCAAGGGGTGCCCCCAGTGTCAGGGGCAGCTGGAGCTGTGAACCAGAGCACTGAACTGCCCCAGCACAGCCCCAGCCGCCCTGAAGGGAGGGGGATCACCCCCCCCAGCACTTGTCCAAATGCACATTTCAGGGGGCGTCACCATTTTGGTCTCTTTTTTTTCCCCCCTCCCTTCAGACAACAGCTTTTGGGATGTCATCCGCACAACCAAGCAGCCAAAAACTACAAGGCCCCCCCCCAAGCATAACCCAGGTGAGTGTGAGCTCCCCGGCCCCCACAGCTTGGCCCTGGCTCTGCTGCCAGCACAGGCAGGGGCTTCGGGATGTGCCGCGACAGCAGCGCTGCCCCTCGCCCCAGTATTTCCAGCCACTACTGTTTGTTCACGTGAGACACCTGGGAGAAAAAAAACAACACAGAAACCCCCAAACACATGGCAGACATGGTATCTTGGCATGACCCTGCACTTGCCTGGGGGTCTCAGCAGCTCCTGGACCATTTTGCATCCCCCTGCCTGCAGGCTTGTGGTCCTCCCCAGCACGGCACGGCCCAGCCATGCCGGGCTCCCCCAGCACACCCATCCCACCAGCTCAGAGCACCCTCTCAGCTGGGCACTTCACTGCCAGCTCAGGCAGAATTTTGGATAAAAGTACTCACAGGCTTAAAAAAAAAAAAAATAGTTTTGGATCAGAATAAACTAAGGTGCGAGCTGGCGGGAGCGCTGGGGAGCTCAGGCTGGCTCCGTGCCGTGGTTTTAGCTGCCATTTAGTGAAGGCAATAGCTGCTCTCAGAGCCAGGCTGCTCAGGGTACCAACTGGGCGGTTCATGGAGAAAAATAACACCAAGCAATCGAGTCACAGGCCGCTCCAGCAGACATGCCAGCACGGCACAGCCGCCTCCTTCCCCTCCGCAGGCTGGGCCCTTGGGAGCGCCCGTTTGGCTCTGACCTTTTCTACCCAGCTTGATTTATCCGACTGCCTGGTGCTCGAGCCATGGTGCAAGACTGTTTCTGCAGGAAGAACATGACATTTCTCACCACAGCGGCGCGGGGGCATGAAATGGGACGGGTTTGGAAAATCTGCCACGACACTGCATAGCGAAACCGGGGGATGCTGGTGTCGGGGGCTTCGTGTTTTTCACCAGCACTTTTCCCTGGCAAAGCTGAGCATTTCCTTGATTATTTAATTAATTGCAGAGTTCCCCAGGCTGTGGCTGGCACTGCTAACTTCCATGTTGTTTTCTAGCAAAGGATCCTATGGATTTGGACTTGTCTGATGCCCTTGATGATAAGAACGATAGGAAAGATGCTGGAAGGCCAGATGTAAGGCCAGGTGAAGGTACGTTGACTTCTCCTCTCCATCCTGCTTGCCACCAGACTCGCTGGCCCCCAGGACCTGGGGGAGATCCTCCCTGGCCCCTCCGGGAACACGCTCTCCCTGCCAAGTGACAGGGTAAGGAGAAGCAGAGATGCTGCCTCGTCTGAGGCTGCTGCCTGCAGCCAGCACCCCGCAGAGGGGGATGTTTCCACAGGCAGTGCAGCCCCTTGCTCCGGGGCCTCAAGGGGGAAGGAGGCCCCGTCTCAGCGGTCCTTGGCGAAGAGGGGCTCTGCCTAATGACCTGTTGCCTGTCTGCAGGTTTCTTTCCCAGGGTCTCTTCTGACCCATTAAATTGCGGTGACTGTGTTAAGTTCCCCCTCGTCCCTGTACCTGACAGCTATTTAACCAAGGGCATGTGCTGTTGGGGTTCACAGTCATTGCCAAGACATAAATCTACAGCAGGCTTAAGTCCTGGCATAACATACGCTGTGGGCTGGGAGAGTTTTTTTTCCATCTCTAAAATACTCTGGTGAATGAATCATTTGTCTACGACGATTGTTCCCTTGAGCACTTGAGCTAGAAAACAGACTTTGCACGGCTAGTTTATTGATGTCGAGATGGCCGTATACCCTGCTCACACATGTAATTAATAGTCAGATATTTTATTAGATTGTATTAACTAGGTGACTTGTCTGCACTTTGATATTCGGGGCTTGTTGAGGTTTCAGACTCCTGCAGGAAAGGTTGAGGTGTTGAACCACTGGAACGTGGCACCGGTCACAAACCAGCACACGTGTTGCCCCGGCATTGCTGCACCCTGGGCTGCCTGGGACCTCTCCAGGTTCTGGCATAGTCAGGGATTTTTTTCTTTTTATACTCATTACTAAGCCCATAAATCTGTTTTTCTGTGGTAAGCTGGTGAATAACAGCCTAGAAGAGACTGCCTTAAGGCAAAGGTAGCCCTTCCTAAGGCGTAGCATCAGAGAAAGAGCCTTTTGCTGGCTCAGCATTGGGTCTCTTCTCCCATCACATGCCTTGCTGCGCCCCGAGGCTCCCTCTGGGACCAGAGCTGAGGGCTTCAACAGCTCCACTTGTTCAGCTGTTGATTCCCAGACTGTGTTTCTCCGCGCCTGTCCTGCATGAATTAAACATTCCCACTACAACCATGTCTGAGATAACTTTTTCATCTGTACCACTGGAGCTGCTCTGTCCCTCTGGGAGGGAGGAGTGTCAGCTCCCCGCCTGCGGGACCCCGGGCCAGGCTGGTGCTGCCAGGGGCTCACTGATCCCTGGGAGCACGGCCACCGCACACACAAACCACTTCTTCCTCCCTCCTCCACTGCCAACGGAGGCTGAGCAGCCAAAACATTTCATGAACTTGTAAATACCAACTGTGTCCTGGGCTGCATCAAGGGAAGTGTAACAGGCAGGTCAAGGGAGGGGATTTTCCCTCTCTTCTCTGCTCTCGCGAGACTCCCCCATCCAGTGTTGTGTCCAGCTTTGGGACCCCCAACATAAGAAGGACATGGACCTGTTGTGTCAAGTCCAGAGGAAGCCACAAAGATGATGAGGGAGCTGAAGCACCTCCCTTATGAGGACAGGCTGAGGGTATTGGGGTTGTTCATCCTGGAGAAGAGAAGGCTCCAGGGAGACCTTAGAGCAGCCTGCTATATAGTATCCTTACCCATGGCAGGGGCGTTGGAACTAGATGAGCTTTAAGGTCCCTTCCAACCCAAACCAGTCTAGGATTCTGTGATTCTATGGAATACATCAGTCATTTCAGTCAAAAAAACAATACAGTAGTTTTTAAACTTTGATTCAGGGATATTTCTTTCAAGCTAGACTTAAAGTAAATTATTACCTCTTTTATGAGCTTAAAATAATTTGGGGTTAAACATTTTGTTAACATCTGATAATTGCAAGAGAAGCAGAACTGCTTATTGTCTGGTCTCTGTTCTCACTGGGAGCCGCTGGTTTACATGGGCATGCAAACTGCTGCTCTGGACCCTGCTGCACAGAAAGCCCCCCACGGCTCTTCAAAATAGCCAGAGAGCTTTAGAGAAAACAATCAAATGAATAGAGCAGCCTCTCTCTTCCCAGCAGAGAAACATTTCCCCAGGAGCAAGGGTTTGCAGGAGGCCAGTCCCACCCTGGACGTGTGATGCTCACAGGTGACCCCTGCCCAGAATCCCCCAAAAGTCCCATTTCCAGGCCCTGCCCATCCAAAAGCACTCATTTTTTGGGATCCCTCTCATCCCAATAAAGCCACGCACTATTTTCCCTTTCTGTTATACTTTTCTTCTAGGCAGCTCTGGCTACATTCACCCTCCCAGGAAGGCAGCTTTGGTGTTTTGCAGGGTGAATTTGGCTTTATGCAGGTTGAGAGGGTGAGCTCCCCTGCTGCTGTGGAACACACAAAGCTGTGGCCACTACCTCCCGGGGGGGGGCTGTGTCTCCCTTCAGGTGCCAACCACCATTTGTTCCTGTTATCTTTAAAGCATTTTCAGATGACGACCTGGCCAGCATCGTGGATGGCGGCTACAGCCCAGACAAGAAGAAAGGTAAACGTAGACCTACGTATATTCGTTTGCTTCAGCAGTCACAGCTTGGGCAATAATCACTGTATCAGCCAAACTCTTAGAAACCACCTTGTGCGGAGTGGTGCTCACCTTCTCAATGGGGGCACATGCACAAGAAAAAGGGGTCTCAGCCATGGGCACAGGGGAACACATAGTTTTCAGCTGCCATGGTCACACCTTGTGCCAGGGGTTGGAGGTGCTTATTTTTGATCCCACGGAGGCTCTGCAGCTCCAGCTGCCTCCGGGGCAGACGGGACCTGCATCTCCCCATCCACCCTGAAAGCAGATGCCCACCCCTGTGTCATGAGACGGCACAATCCTTCGTTTATCTTCCACTGTGCAACCACTGATGGTTGAAAAAAGGAGGAAAACCAGCAACAATCGGATAAGCCTGCACATTTGCCAGGATCCACAGCATTAAATATTAAAAGCAGTCAAGTAAAGCGATGAACACCACAAGACCAATCAACATTTAATGAATCCCTGTGCCAAGGACAAACGGCATCGGGGGCATTAATACAATGCTGACCTGCTTCCATAAATTCAGGATGCAAGTGACTCGGTAAGGACTGCAGCTTCCAGCAGGAGCAGCTTTTCCTCCCAGCCCAGCTTCTCCAGGGAAGGTGATTTTAAAATAGACTTCAAGCCAAGTGAAGATTCCCTGACGTTACGGAGCTCAGCCAGTCACCTCCCCGTGACAGCACAAGTATGCTGTGTAACTGTCTGACAGCGTTTTATTTGTCCACTCTTTACACTGAGCAGCGTGGGGCGGAGGTGGGGTTAACTGTCATGCAGGCAGAGGTGTCCCCTGCAGAGGCTCCCCTCAAAACTCCCCCCAGGCACATGCGGTGGGAGAGAGGAGCAGCCTCAGATCCCTCCAAGAAGCAGCGCCGAGCCGCCCTGGGCAGCCAGGTGGGGTGGGGCAGCAGAGACAGGGCGCACCACGGGGGCACACGCTCGCCCCCAGCCCAGGGGTGCCCCTGGGGCCACGCCGCCGCCTCCCCCCTGCATCCCCCCTCCCTCCTGGGCTGCCCAGCACGGTGGGGGGGGGAGCAGAGGGGCACGGGGTGCTGATGGGCTTGTGTGTCTTGCAGGTGCCGAGGGCAGCACTGACAGCGACTATGGCGGGGGTAGGTACCACCATGGCCACGAGCCCAGCGGTGAGGGGGTGGGATGGGGTGGGACGGGTGGTGCGTGTGCCCCCACAGCCCAGCGCCCCGCTCTCTCTCTCTGTGTCCTGCAGGCAGAGTGGCAGAGACGGGGACAATCGCCGGCATCGCCAGCGCCCTGGCCATGGCACTCATCGGGGCTGTGTCCAGCTACATCTCCTACCAGCAGAAGAAGTTCTGCTTCAGCATCCAGCGTAAGTCTGGGCCCCCCCCCCCCCCCAAACATTTCATAAGCAGGGAGCAAACACCCACCTATCTGCCCTCTGAACCCCAATGCCCTTTTCCAGCCTGGAGACAGGAGGGGTTGTCAGGCGTCCCGTGACCCAGAGCTGGCAGAGCAAAGCCCCAGCCATGGGTTATCAAGCCCCCCCCCCCATCTTGTTGGGTGTTGCACAGGCAGGAACCCACCAGCAGCAACGGCCCCAGACCCCAGTGCCACCCCGGGGGCTGCGCACAGCCCCTCGCGTGCACCCACAGACGGTCACAGCCAAAGACAAACCCACTGACACCAAACAAGGTAAACATGGGAAAAAACCCCCCACTCCTCCCCAAAACAAACAAACCAGAAACCACCCAGAATCTCAGCAAGAAGTAAAAACTCACCAGGCAGCAGCAAGGGAAGCACAACCAACCACAGCAACTATGGCAGCCCTGGGGAGTACAGCCCAGCCCACCCCGCCCTCCCACAGGTGTGCAGCAATCACTGCAATTAAGTGCAAATTAAGCAGCAAAACTCCTATTTCCAGAAAGTGCCCTTTGCAGGAGTGCCCCATAAATTTGCTGGGTGTAAACATTGCAGGAGGTGGCCCGACAGCCTCTCCCCATGGCACTGGCCTGGCTGTGGTGGGCTCCAGTACATCTCCTGGGGTGGTTGCAAACAGCTGGAAAAAGCTCTTTTTAAATTAATCAAATGAAATCTCCTGTGAGTCTCCTTTACTCTGGGGGAAGGGTGCTCAGGACTGGAAATTTCTGCTGGAATCATGCTATTTTCCCGGTTGTGCCTGAAACAAACAGGAGCATTTTGGTAAATTAGATCAGCAGGAAAAGTCAAATGAATGTGATGGAATGAAACACCCTTGTATATTCCCCCCACTTAAATGATATTTTGGCAAGAATAAATAATTAAAAAAAAAAAGAGTAAAGGCTTTGATGAGGGGGAAGCTGAGAGACACAAAGCCCCAGAAAGGCGGCAGGAAATTAAAGTTAATTATAAAGGAGGATTAATTTAAGCCATCAGACATGGCATGCTGGGCTAATGTCAGGCCTTAGATGCATTGCAATGCATGACAGAAATCTAAGAGCCGTCAGCCACTGCAAAAGTGGCTTTTTATTGAAAAACATAAATTGCATTTGGTGTTATCCCAGTAAAACACACATGTCTTGGGGGAGGCACTGGTGGTGTGTAATGACCACTTGCTTGAAGCACAGAGGAACAGGCTCAGCTTTTTTCCTTGCCCAGCCATCCTTCTGTGGCAGCGAGGATGTGGCTCCATTTCTTGATTTTGAGCCTCAGCCTCTTTTGACAAGCATTTGCTGATTCCTCTGAAGGATGTGTACAACGCTGCCTAATATTCTTTATCTCACTTTCTCTTCTTACACCACGTCTCCTGCTCACTAGCATGCCCTGGGATATGGCTTAGCCTCCCGGTGTCCCCTTGCCCTGAGCCGCTGGCGGTGCCCAGGCAGGACAGGAGCTGTCAGAGCTGCTCCAGCAACTCCTCTCCTTCCTCCACAGTTTGGCCAGCTGCAGACTGCCATGTCTGCTGGCATGGGGTTTTAAGGCGTTTTTTTTTTTCAGCCAGTTGCAGAAACTTTTCTTCTCTCTCGTGCCTTGGAGACAGCGACTGCCTCATTGCTTCATGAGGGCTCCCATCGTGCTGCTCTGCCTTGGCCCCACCACTCTTCCCTGCCTCCCTCTTTCCCCATGAGATATGAATGAGCCCCATCAAAACCTGGTGGTGAGGCATAGCAGGTCCCTGCCACGCTTCGTGCTGCATTTAGATGCAGATAAAGCTTAGATGTCTAAAAAGTGGCGGGATGCATGGCTGCAGCGTGGATTGCCTCAGCCTGCCTTCGCAAACCAGCACAGCCCCCACCCTGTCCCTGGGCCCTCCCAAACGGGACATGGCGGTTAGCACAGCACTCCTGTCTCTGTCTCTCTCCAAAGAGGTTCTTTAGAGAAGCGGTAGAGCATGGCTGAGGGCTGTGGTGCACCCCAAGCGGTCTCAACTCAATCTTCTGCAGCTCTGATCTGGACTAGGACGAGCAGAGCCACCCCCTTCCCCTTGCCCACCCTGTTGCTGCCACCTTGCAGCCACCCACCTGCCCGGCAGCGCCCAGCCTTGCCCCTTCGCCTGGGCTGCACTTGTTGCAAACACTGGAAATGTCTTTGCATTTAAATAAGGGACTTATTTGGGATTTGATAGCCCTCTGGGATCCTGCTTGGTCACCACAGCCCTGCTCTAAACTGCTTCTTGCAGCTCTCCGTAACTGAGCTTTTAATGGGTCCTACACCATCTACGTGTGCTTAGGTGCAGCCCCGGCTGCACAGCGGTCCTGTCTGGAAGACGTTACCTACTCCATGTGCTTCGCCTAGCTGAGCCCCTTAGCACAGTAATTAGCTTTGCTGCTTTGTGTGATAAAAATGAAGACAGAAAAAAGAGCTGCTGGTAGAAGCTGTGCCTTCTAGGCAAGCCTCTGTGGTCACTTTAAAATCCAGCAACGCTTCCTCAGCACTGTTTATGGTTTACTGATGTTTCTATACTGCTGTTAATGCAGAGGAGGTTGAAAAAAGGCATCTTAGCTTTTACAGCAGATGGGCCCATTACCAGAGTTTTTAAGGCATCAAAGCAAATCATTTTTACTTTCTACCCTCCCATTTCACTCTCTTTATTGTTACTTCTCAGAAGGACTTAATGCGGAATATGTGAAAGGAGAAAACATGGAAGCTGTCGTAAGCGAGGAACCCCAAGGTGAGAACCATGCTTTCCTTACCCTGTCTGCATCCAGCCACAAAAGCAGCTTTTCTGAGGGACTTTCTTAAAGTAAGTCCCTCGTACTGAACAGAGCTGCCATGTCTCTTTGATGAAGACAGCACTTAGGTGATGCTGCAGCTTTTTGTGAAACACCCACCACAGTGTTTCTGTCCTTTTATTGCACACAAAGGAAAGCCATGGTAAGAGACCAAGGAGCTCATGCTGCAGACGATGGCAGTTAATATTTAGCTTTCATGTTTTCAGCCATCAAGTGTGTCTTATACAAGAAAAGCATGATCCTTCTTTCAGTGACAGATGATCAAGGCTGCTGCAAAGGCTTTTCCAATGTCACATACAACCAGCCACTACCAGGCAGCTGTTGCTTGAGCTCTGGTTCCATCGTGTGCTATTGTACTCATGATTTTTTTTCTTTCTCCCTAGTTAAATATTCAGTACTGGAAACACAGTCAGCAGAACCACCAAAACAAGACAGTGCGAAGATATAAAGCATGACCCGGGGCTAGAAAAGAATCAGTCAGCAGCAAATGGAGATCTTACATGCTTGTAATTTAGCTTTTTATTTAATTTGACTCCAAAGCTATTTAATGTGTACTTAGGCTCGAACTGGCTTTTTATTGCTCTAGGCTTTAGGGTTAGAGTAGTACTATGTGTTTATTTTTTGTAAAGAGTTACATGTTTACATCAAAGTAATATTGTAGGTTTGATGTCCAGTGGTATGCAAACCAACAGAAGGTGCTTCAGTAGTGGTCAATTTTCGATTAAGGGACAAGGTCTTTTTCAAGGAGCAGAAGAGCTTACAGTGAAGTGCCTGTACATAGCAATCCAAAGCAAACCATTCACAGCCCTTTGTAAAGCACCTCCAGCCAACTTCTGCCACCAGCTATAGGCACATCACTTCCAACAGTGCTGAATGTGCATTTGCTGAGGGTGGATTGCGGTCCTTAGCGTAGCTGCACCTAACAATGAAGTGCCTATGGGTAGGTCCTGGGGTTTGGGCTCAGCTGAGGCAGGTGAGTCCCTGCTCCGAAGGCAGGAGCTGAGGATGCTTCACCACTACGCAGCACTGGGCTTCTAACCAAATAAAAGGACCCGATTTTCATGCCAAGTCATAAATACAGGTAGTGGCAGTGTGCGCAGTGTTCACTTTTAGCAAATACGCTTTGAATGCTTGGCTGTGCTAGAGATCAGAACGGAGCTGAAGGTGCCAAGTGATACAGTTTGCAGGACATGAGATATCTAGGTTGTCACCAAAATGAAAACTGTGTGTGTTTGGATGCTTTCAAGGGCAGGTTCAGATCTCATTCACACTAGAACAAATTTCAGATTTAACCCAAAAGAAAATAAACAAAGTAGCTATCTGTTAAGAGCTGGAACACTCACTACTGTAAGAGAAGTCAAGCTTAGCAAGATGCAGGCCCCCCACCTTCTTTTTTTAGCTGCAAGTATTGAGAGCACTCCCTGGCACCCGAGGCAGAAGAAGGATCCAAAGCTTGTGTCAGTGGCTAAAAAAGGCAGAATGTGCTGAGAGGATCAGTCCTCCATCACCGTCCCGCGTGGGGTCCCTGCAGCTTTCTGGGCAGCAGGGGGCTGCGAGCGGTGCTCAGCGGGACACGGGGCTGCTCCGCGACAGCGCCCCGATCCCACGCAGCTGCTCACACGGCCCTCTTCAACGCTGCAGAACTGGTATCAAGACCTGACCTTCACTACCTTGCAAGAATTTGTGGTTATGTTTCTAATCCCTTCCCAACCCCTTCTTATCACTGCTAAAACGTGGATACTGCCACTTTCTGATAAATTTATCCAAGTTGATAATTGCTTAAAAATCATGCTCTCAAGTGAAGGAAAATTCACTTTATGTGGCGCAAGAGGTACTCACTATTTATATATAAACCTTAAACTTGTGCATTTGGTACTGTTTTGCAAATCCCGGATTTTGTGAATGTGTATTAAAAATAAAGCCTTTCAGTTTGATGTACGAATTCACAGCTTTCAGGTAGACACAACTTAGGGAAGGCCTTGCCAGGAGGTGAATCAGCCTAGGAGCACTGCTGCCTAACAGCTCCATTTGAAAGGAAATTGTCTAGTAACATAGTTAAGTATTTTGCAATAGCTGCACAATTCTTTATGCTCTTTTTAACACTTGCATTTTTAAAGCCTTACACTATCTCTAGCAGAACAGCTACTGTGTTTTATGAGGGAAATGAGTTCTAGGGATATATGGTGCCTCACGTGTATTCAGAACACTTAGGCTACAATACTGCTACAAACTACTGCTGCTTTGTTTTATGAATGTGTTTGGATTAGAAAACAAAATCTTTAATTATTGGCTGCTCAGAGAGTGAAGCAGAGGAAATGGAGATGGGATGCACTCTGTGTTTGCTTACTCTCAGAGAAGAATTTTCACGGAGGAAATGTGATCTGCAGGATTTGGATCATCACATGCAGGAGCTCAGCTGCTGGTGAAGCCACACAGCTGAGTTTGTATCTCCATTCCCAAGCACCATTGCCTATTTTTCTTAGCCACACACATTTGAAAGCTGAAGCATGAAAAATGTTTTTATAAAGTTACTGTAGATGAAGTGTTACAACATGGCATTGATGATCACTAGGAGCCATTTTCCTACCTTAGATCAAGTGACATAATTCCATTTCTCCTTTTGCTGATGACCATGTTTTCTGTAGATGCAGATCATCAGTTTTGCTGCATTTCTATTATTGTGCCCTCCCTGTTTGTCTAGTGGACAGTGCAGTGGGGTGTCCAGCATTGCTTAAATAATATAGCACATACCCCTCTTTTGGGAAACTCTTACACTAGAGCATAGGAAAAACACATGTCTAATTCACAAAAACTCCAGGTTTGGGTTGTGGTTTTTTTTTTTGTTTGTTGTTGTTTTGTTTTGTTTGTCTGTTTTTTAAGCAGAGCTGTTTCACTGAAAAAAACCCCTCCAGTTTCTAGAACGCAGAAGTTGCTCCTTCCCCAAGGCCTTTTCTATGACTTTGGTGAACACTTAATGCCTTAGTATAATTTCTAAGTATGTGAAAAACAATAAATGCACAGTGAAAAGGAGCACTTTTTCAAAAATTCACAGTAACAGAATTCACGATCTCTTTCTCTGGGACTTCAAATAGGAAAATAGTGATAAATGCCACAGTAAAGAAATTAAACGTAGACTTCTCTTTAAAACTGGACGAAAGTCAAAGTCTTATTGTGCTAAATGTCAGTAAAGGCTCAAATTGCTTTTTATTGAAGTCTGTCTCCTCCTCCATCTGAACTGTCAGACCAGTCTCTGAGAAACAGGGAGTTTCTACATCATCTATATTTCAGGCTTTATAGCAAGTGAAAGGATTCATATGTATTTTCCTAGTAGTGATCCAAGTTCTGAAACAACTGATTCAGCATTGACTTCTCTAACTACTTTCATTTAATTAGGATCTATTCTCTTTAAATCTAGATATAGAATTTTTTAAAATCCTGCACTTAATTTCTGTATACATGGTATGAGCTTTCTCATCCTTTACTAAAAAAGGCCATAAACCACTGAAAAACTGTGGTTTTTTTTTTTTTCATGAGTCCAAAAACTATATATACAGCTGTCCAGAGTTTATGTACTATCTGTGCTGTGAGCTCTTCTTACCACACATCACTTCAGCTTAACTAAAGCTATTTTTAATAAAATTACTCAGTAAAGGTTTCTCAGTTACAGAGAAAACAGAGAATAGAAATAATTTAACTAGCTCTTTTCCTGTTGATTATTCTATCGATTACTTGCATTTTCCTTTGGCAATACTGTAGTAGTTTCTTCGGTTTAGATTCTTCAGTTGAGAATACTCTGACATGAATTTCAGACTTTTTTGGCACTATAAACTCAGTCATTTTCATGCAACCCCACTAAAGAACCCTTACACATGCTATATTGTCATTCTTAACTACTCACTGCTTGTGATAAAAGTGGAATTAGTCCGTTTCAAATACTATTTCAAATTCTGAAAAAGTAAGATGAGTTGACAGGCTAAGGCTTTAAAAATCTGCTTCTGCAACAAATAAGCTTCAGGAACAAATCAAGTTCAGTAACAACAGTATTGTGAAATCAGAGAATCCTTTCTTTTGAGTGAAGTGCAAGGCATATTGTTTGCTGATGCAGAAGCGATCTATACCAAATGAAGGATGAATGTTACACTGTAAGAAAATAAGATTCATTTTGCTAATGTGCATGTAAGAATTGTGGGGGTAAAAATCAGGATTTGACTGCCATCGGAAAACACCAAATAAAACAAGTTGACTAGAAAGACATTTTAGACTTGATCTTTTGTGGGTTTTTTCATGTGGGAAGTGAACTGCAGATGTGGCTATATCCTTATTATGATCTCTTCTATAACTACACTAGATTTGATTAAAAAAAAAAAAACAACAAAACAAACTGGACTTTGTGAGAAAACAAGTATCATTACAAAAACTTTAATGGTAAAAATAAGTATTTGCACACACACCTCAGGTCACACAGCAACTAAACTCTAGGTAGCGCCATGTCCCTGGCTGCACTCAGCACGGCTGCTTTTTGGTTCTTTTCACTGCCCTATGTTTCCTGCAGTTTTCTTTGGATTTTCACATCCAGTAGATGAATCTCCCATGCAGTGCAAACTAAGCTTTTGATCTTTGTATAATGATGCAGTGCTTAGTCTCACAGTCAAAAAAGGTGGTTTGTATTTCAGACTAGCTACTTCTGACTCGTATTTCTTGTAGAAATAAAATTCCTTCTTCCCAACTGCACAAGATCTGGCAGTCAAAAGATCTCTAATATGATACCCACTTAGCTCAGCAGATGTGATCTCTCAGCAAATGGACGCTCCGTTTTGCTTTTTAACATAAATGCTTCACCTAGGGAATACTCTAAATTGCCCATTTTAGTTTGTCCTCTTCTGTGGGGCTCAATGCACATGAACGAGAGCTGTTGATTCCTTATTTCCAGCTTTTAGAAAACCAGCCATTCTTGGTGTTATTACATACAGCATGTGAATTATTAGAGCATTTCTCAGAAAGTAAGAAAAATCAAACACTTCTTGTTTAAAGCTTTAACTCCTCGAGAGGAAGGCTGCCCATGCAGGGAACAGAACCAGGCAGATAGGAGTGTTTACCAGCTTTAAAGCCTTCTTCCCGTTTAATGAAACAAGAAAAAAATTACTTTGATCTATAAAGGAAGAAGTAGTGTAATTCAGCTCTGAAACAAGACTAAAATGGAAAAGTGTCTGATGCTGATGCTTCGCTTACTTTACAAGTGAAAAATGCTTCAGTTGGTTACCAAGGCTTCATCCCATTCTGGGACACCAGATTCAGGTTCTTCCCCCTCTCACATGCCATTGATAATAGGGAAATCCTACAGATCAAACTTAATTGCTTGCTGTCTTTGCACATTCCCTTTATACTCAGCAGGGTCAAAACCAAAAATCACAGCAAAAGAAGATCCAACTTTTGAATCAGAAGTTAATAGTTCTGTCCAAGGTGCATCAGACAGGCAACAGGGTTCTGCTCTTTCCTCAACCAGTTCAATACTGCCTTACGAAAAAATAAAAAGTAACAACAGAACTAGTAGTTAAATCAATAGGAAATAATCTGATTATCAGCAAGCAGACTGAGTACAAAGACAGTCGCCTCTTCAATATAGAACTATGCTTTAACTAGCATGTATGACCTATATAATACCTTTGAAAATGTCCATGCTAAGTACATACAAAAACATCTATTGTGCTTACACATGTAACAGCAGGACCCCTCCCCCAGTGCTCTCCCTGCAGATCAGAGAGGACTCGCTGAGCTGTGCTGAAACTCATGGATAAACAGCCAGTCACTTGAAATAACTTGTATTCTTCTATGCAAAACCGAATTTCCAGATTTTAGCTCTAGGAATCTAAACTTTAAAAATCTCAGAATGCTCAAGCTAATCCAGTCATCACTTTTACAATAATTATAGAGGAAATGTTGTGATTATTAGCACCAATAAAGAGAAAAACTTCAAAAGATTTTCTTTAGCGCTGCATTTTAGAGATAATGTGCTTTACTTTAATATACAGATAAAATGTCAAGGAAATCCAAAATATAGAAGAGTTTAATTCAATACCAGCTCAACATATTTTGGCAATGTAAAATTCACTGCTGGCATAGTGTTCAGCAGAACCATTTTTACATGAAAACATCTTTAATCTATTTATAAAAAGCCTGAGGTTGATTAAGAGATGCAACATTGCAAGCCTTCCTAAACTTTGTTCATGGAGGTATCTATTGTAAAAAGCATTCACTATAATAAAAAGGACATGTTGAAATAGCCTGCACTGCACAGTAAACTTGTAAGACTGGATACAGCACATTAGTCTTTCCAGTTGAAATTGCAAAAGTGCTCAGCAGCTCACCTTACTCATTAACTGTATGCTATATATATGAATGCAGAGAAACGGAAAAGTGCCATCACATGTTAAGAACAAATGTGCGGTAATAAACGATGCTCACAGACAGTAAAAACCACAATCAGCATATAGAAACAATTGGCTCTTAAGAATGGGGCTTAATTCCCACCAACAGAACTTGGAGCAATATAAGCACAAGCCAAAAAGCAGAGCTGCAGTATTTAAGCGCCCTAAGGAGAAGAACCAGATTCTCATGAAACACAGCAAGGAAAACAACCCAGGGAAAATTTTTAGTGTGAACCATTTCTGGGCCTTCCAAGAAGGCTACTGAATAAATTTTTAAATGGTTGGATGTTACAGTAATCAAATATCTCTGATACGAATATTTTGGGGAGTAGATGAAAGAACGTTGGGAATGTATATTTTACACGAAAAGGCAGTTAAATTATTCACTTTGCAGAAAAAAATGATAGCAGCAATTTAAAAACAAAAAGCCAAGAGGCTTTATTTTAAGAAAACCAATTAAGATCATACTATTTAAAAACTTTGTCAAACAAAGTCATTACAAGTTAAGGTCTTCAAAAGAGTCTGGATGGGCAGGATTCATTTTCTGAATTTACAGCTTAAAACCGTGGCATATGTTTAACATCACACACACATGTGTATAAATGCACACAGCTTTGCATTTTGTGTGTACACTTTAAAACAAAACACGCATAACAAAATGTGAAGCTATACAGACTATACAGTTTACACAGCTGGGTGTCACTCCAACCCCAAATATTAGCATTTCCTAGAAAACAAACTTTTACTCTGTACAAGACCTTGACATGAATAAGTTTATCCCTTGCTTAGGAGGCCAAAACTGAACAATAAGCTAAACAGTCAAAAGACTTTATTTCAATTTGTACAAAAGGCATTAAAAAACCTAAAATACATGCTTTACCAAATATATTACATCATACAAGTCAGTGTGGTGTACTTGACAAATCAGCTTAACTTCACCCACTTTTAATGGCATATTTAGTTGAAATGTAAAACTGACTACAATGGAAAACATTTATTGTAAGATCAATTTCGAAGTGCATTAATTACCTAAAAAAAAATAAACTGCTCTAGCAAAAAAAATATATATATTACTGAGTGAAATAAGGAGCTCCCATTCAGAAAAAATGTTCTCTGTTCTATGTAAGCATCATGTGGCATTTCCTCTGAATCTCTCAAGCAGGCATGGTACCCTAGACAGTGTGAGAAGCATTTTTTTGTCTGCTTGGCAGATGGATTTCTTTTCAGGATGGTTAAATTGTTAGTTGCTCAAAACAAAGTTTAATTTCACAATTGGTGATTTAGCTAGAATGTCAAAACACATGTGGGAACTGCCAACAAGAAAATACATCACATCTATTGAAACTCTTTTTGGCCTCATCATGATAATATCAGACACAGAATAAGGCATGTAGATCACAGCAATTACAAGTCACTCACAATCCTTTTGTGATGGGAAAAGCATTTCACCCTCCTTTCTGTATTACCTGACAATTTTTTTCACGTGGCTTTTATTACACATCACACAGAGGTGTGCACCGGTGTGGCTGAATGGGAAGGAGATGAACCTCTGTCAGAGGAGGAAGAAATGGATCGTGTAGCAGCTTCCCGCTGCAAATCTTCAACCTTCTTCTGCAGCTCCGTCCGGATGGCAAGGAGCTCTTTAAGATTTTGATGGATTGGAACCTGCCAGGAAAAGAAAGAGAAGTCTTACTTTGACTCTCACAGTGAGTTAGTTTCTCAAGCAATACTTCCACTGTTTCCTTCAGTAACACAAGGAATCCAACACCTATGAATTTCAGTATATCAATATTTAGGGAAAGTATTTCTTTAGTCATTTGAAATGAAACTTTTCAGCAAACTGTCCCTTTCTAACAACACAGTTGGCAGGAAACCTATACAAAAGACTGTTTACAAATGGTCTTAATGGGATACCAAACATATTCCCATAAATGTACCCCTATCCCTTATCAATAACCCTTTCAGCTGAACTCAGATTGCCTTTCCCAGGAACTATTTCCCCTGTCTGTTGGGACAGAACTTACTATGTAAAGAGTTCACAAAGCTGGCTCCATATGGAGCGTCTTGTTACTCCTCTAACCAGGCATCTTTCCAAGAGTCTGACCCCTTCCAGCTTGCCAGTGAGAAAAGTGCAGCAGCCAAATGAATTGTGCTTTGTGGTGGGCCTTCCAGAGTCACACTCCAATAAACCTTTTATAGAGGTGGGTTGCATAGGTTTCTGCCTCTGCTTCTGACAGTACCCAAAACCACCAGAGATGCACCACTCTGCATGGTGGAGCATCTTTCACACTCATCTGGAACATTCAACTATATCATGGCCAAAGGAAGATGCAAACCACACTGGTTTTTGCAGCTGCATCTGTTATCTCAGACAAGCAGAGAGAGACCTTCTCTTCTTCCAAATGCCACAGAAAGGGCAAAAAAGTTCGACTGTAAATTGTTTTTAATTTATTTTATCCTATATAAACTAAAATTGTTTAAAGCTTTTGGAAAGAGCAAGATGGGAAAATAATTAAATTGGGCTGGCAAGACAACCGTGGGGAAATGCAGCAATGGGAAACCTACGGATCGCTAGACGTTGTTACCCTGGACTTCTGGAATGCCAGGCTCCAGGGAATTGCATTCACCCGTGATCACTTCCTACTGCTTCAAAGTGATTACAGGGCTGGGATGCACACCTGAGCATGAAATTTTCACATGGTTCTACGTGAAGAAGATATCAAAAACAAGAAAGGGTTTATCTTCCTTCCATCAACACACAACTGAGTCACAATTTAAGTTTTTGTGAATTCTGGTTTTGTAAAGAAAATACATAAAAAATCCCTGAAT